GTCTGACCTAGAGCACTGTTTAACAGATAGAAAGATCTGGTTACGTAAAATTAACCTAAAAGACCCTGTGCTATTGGTGTTAAGCATTGCTCATGAAATTAAGAGTGACATTGGGCAGGAAGTGATTTTTACTGTCCAGCAAAAGTTTTTGAGACATCAAACCTTTTTTTCATTCTGCATAAGGATAAACTGAGACCTTTTGCAAAAAAACTAAAGGGACACAGACACACCCTAATAGCTAATAGCCTACCAAGTATGGTACTCAACAGGGGATCACCTTCTCCAAATTTGACAGAGCAGGATCTTGAATCTGGACCTTCCACCTTCCAAGTGAGTGCCCTATGCAGTGAGCTACTGGTCTGTCTTTCTGTAGGTGCTACTCTTTACACTATTTGAACTTTTTACATTAAGCAGTTTTTGCATTAAAAATAAATAAATAATCCTGGGTTCAGATACTAGAACCCAGCATTGTCCCCTCTCAATTCCAGCCAGTAAGCTACAGAGGTACATTACCTCACATTGCTTTCTGCCTGTGAAGAAAGGCTCACTTAAGCACTGTGGAATTGGCATAGATATAGCGCTCCTTAACTATCTCACAGAGCATCTGTGAGCTTTAATTAGTAATGTTTGTGCAGACCTATCTAAAAACAAGGCTCTTTAAACCTAAATTATTCCTGTTTTCTGCCCCTTTAGCCTAGGAAAGAGAGAGCCACCAGGAAAAAAAACATTATCTTTCCTGCTATCTGAGATCTGCTGATTTCCACGGGGCACAGACAGGTTGAGAGGTTCTTAACAGCTTTCAGTAGAGGAAACAAATGGAAGGGATTGTGGCAAAGGGAAGATTTGGTATAAACATTTTCTGCAGAGAGAGAGAAGGTGATTTAGAAAGAAAATGAGTATGAAGCTACCCAGAGAAACTGCGTTCTGCTAGAGGGCATGGCTTAGTGGTCTAAATATCTGATTTGAAATATTTAGTCTCCCTGGGGCAACTGATGTATCTCAGAACTCCCTTGAAGCAACTTGAAACCTGGGAATATTTGCTCAGATCTTTGTCCTCAGCTAAGCTCCATTCAATTTACTGTGTGAATTTTTAGGCATGACCTTAAAAATTCAAGCTCTGTGGCCTATGTGGATATTAAAAAAACATGGTTTTAAGAGCAGGAATCTAGACTTGCACTGCTATACAAATTCCCCCTTCCCCACCCCCCTTTTATTCCATTATTGCCGAACATCCTCTGTTGCCTTCCACCTCTGGCTTAACTGCAGTTCCATGATGCTCCAAATATGTAATGGGTCAAGTACTTTAGGGCCATAAAATGCTGTATAAATGTAAGCTATCATTACTGTGTACTCCACTTCACTTGGACGCAGACTATGTGGATGTATTCCAGGAGACTGACTGAGTCTAATTTCAGTGATAGTAATGGCTGCTGATTAACTGGGGTGGTATTAGCAGAAATTCAGACAGTGCCAAGTTACTTAATGATGATTAACCAAGTGTTAAATAGGTGTGGAATTCTAGGTTCTGATTTTTACTGCCAAGTAAAGATTAAGGAGTACATTTTCCTTTGTTCTCAGGAGGCCTTGGTCATGGGTTGCAGGGTCCATGGGACGTGGTCACAGACACCATTGTTCATGAGATGTTCACAAGCAAACTGTTCCGGTTACAGAAGTTATGTGCTCTATCTCCAGTAGTCTACTCCCCATGCCCCCAGATAGCAGAGTTTTCAAGTCCAGGAAATTGAAGCTATCTTTCTTTTTGGGTTTTCTTTTAAAAAGCTAGAAAAATTAAAGGAAAACAATTAATAAAATATTAAAGCGCAGTTGTATCTGGGAAAGGGGAGTTGTATAAAAATATATAGTATTTTGGTATTTTAAATTAATTTTGCTTTTTCTAAGGTCCTTCTCAAAGTCAGCTCCATTTGCAGGCAAAGATTTTTTTTCCCTACCTGTCATATCCACCAACTCAACTATAAATCCTGAATAGTCGAACCAAATTCTTTCCATCTATCCTCATGCAAACAAAAGATGTTATAGACACATTATGGCTGCAGCTACCCTGTACAAACCTATTGTCTTCATAATATGCCTTCAAGGGGAGATTATGCCAGTCCACCTATGGCTAATGTTGTTGCTCTGGTGTCTTTGGCCTGTAGAAGTTCTGCTCTTGGTGAAGAGGCACAAGACCAAATTAACCAGCTTTACTCTGAGCATTGCATGAATTTGTGGGGCTAGCTAGCCGTTAGGGGAAAAAACATATTATCTATGTCTGTATTAGGAAATAAAACTATTTCACACATTCGGTGCCTTGTGAAACCAGCTGTAGTTTCCCTTTTTTGTACTTTCAAGTATCACAGGGTTTTTCTTTAATCACCCTTTTTAAACCATCCCTACCCTTTTAGTAGACTCACTTTGTGCTTTTCCTGGTGTCCTTGCTATGGTTTTCTTTATATCCTTTAAGCACGTTGACATCTGCTGTCCTTTTTGATAAAAATCCAGCTTTTCTGGACAGTAATCAATTCCATTCAGCTTTCTTCAGCTCACTCCAGGCAGCTTTGACATCTGTACACATGCAGCATCTTGACACACATTTCAAATCTGATCAGATCTCAACCACCAGGTCCTTGACACTTACCAGCTTGTGTACATGCAACAACTTTTCAACTGCAGTAGCAAAGAGACTCAGAGCTGACATCTGCAGTTGTCTGGATTTGACATCATTACCCACAGGGTGGAATAGAGGCATCATGGAACCAGCATCCTATTGTGATGTGACGTGGTGTATGATGATGAGAAATCCCTGCAGGGAAGGGGAGCCAGTCCTAAAAACAGAAATTTAGCTCATGGTCACTGACCATGATTCAAATCAAACCCCAAGGTGAGGATTTGGGGTACACAGGTAGGAGACAGGATGCCAATCACAAAGGAAATTATCCTGGTTATAGGAGTAGCACAGAAAATGCTTAAAAGATTTAATTGACAGGTCTTTTTCTTCTCGTTTTCCAGTGTCTCTGTTTTTCTGGTTTTACCCTTACAGCAAGTCATCAGCAGATCAACAAAACCCATTCCATGCCCATTTGATGAAACAGCATACTAGAATCCTTTAAAACTCTTTAGCAGGCATTTAGATTTCCTTCAGTCCCTTGTTTGTATAATATTTATCTGTTTCCCCTGAGATAAGATTCAAACTAGGCTTTCAGGAGGCTCAATGCCCTCTGCTGCAGCTAAATGCAGTCGAATGAAACAAGTCAAATTCTTTTCAAAGGAGGGAGGTTTCGAGATTCATTTATACTGAGGAAATCTACAAATTTAAATTTGTTTCGGATCCCAGCAGAAATGGATAAAGTTCCCTTTGGTTTCTGTACAATATGCATATCTCATTGCATGATATAGCAGCATGTAATCTGAGCGTTAAAACAGACACTTACATGGACAGAGACCAAGTACAATGACAAAAAGCAGTGTTACCTAACAATGACTCTTAAAGCAATATCTTTGCTCTAAGTGATCTCCCAGGATCATACCATACATTAATAACTCTGTATTATGATTGAAGGTGTTTTTTACTAGAAAGAGAATCATTCTCCTTTACAAATATGTTCCTCTTTCCCAGAATTTGAATTTACATCACCACAAGGTTCTTTGAAAGCTTTATTGTTTCAGTAGCAATATCCAGGACAGAAATGTGTAAAGTCTTCCATATAAGAAAAGAAGTATGTATGAACTAGCTTTACAGCCTAGAACTGCAGCAGCCATTCCTAGCTCAGCAACTAGCAGTATACGAATGATACCATGCCATCACGTAATTACTTTAATGGATGAGCAGAACCTCCATAACTCCCCTGTTGGAAATAGTCCCAGAGGAGATACTTTGAAAAAAAATCCCTTTAGAAGCCACAAGGATAAAATAGAATACAACGCATTCATTTTAAATCCAAAATATCACCTCTATAAAATAAAATCATTCTAGCAAGCCACTTCTGGCTTTTCCTTACTTTCTTCCTTAGGGCCTCATTTGTATTACTTCATCAGAATAGCATAAAGTAGTCTTAGTGGAACTGAGAATCAGATCCTTTATAGCTGAAGTAGAGTTAAATCTAGGCCAGCAAAGGAGGAGTCATCTCAAAGTAATGGCTGAATACCTGCCGGCACTTGGACTTAAAGGAATGAAGCTTAGTGCAGCACATCTAAGGGCAGTCAAATTCTCATGAAGCAATAGGAAGTGAAATTGGCTGATACATGCTAGAGCTGGTCTGTTTTGGAACAAGGTCAAAGGCCTCCCCATGCCTACTATGGTTAAGACACAAGTTCCTGTAGCCAACAAAATGCAAGGGAATGACGTTGTTATCATCACATGCGGTTTTTTTACCTCCTTTTTCTAAATAACATAGTATTCATTTGAGTCAACAAGGGATGCCTTTGGCATAAGTTTGGGATGAACTTTGAACTCATAACTCTGGAGTCATAAGGAGACATCTTAACCATCCTATCATTATATACCTTAATTTGGGACAAAAAGATGGTTAAAGGACCCAGAAATTCATGAAGAGGTTCACTAATGTTAGATAGTAAATACTTATCATTAGTTGGTATGGTCACAGGGAAATCACAGACCATGGCTTTTATTCTCATCTTTTTTATCTATTGCTTTCATCAACTACATCCATAACTAGTCTATGACAATGTACGTGCAGTGTTGCATCACATAGTAGAACAATATACTAACATAGCTGCTAGTATGCTGTTCATATAGTAATATTGTATGGGATACATAAAACCATGGAAGCAGTATTTGTAATTACGTATACAATATACTGTAAGGCCTTCTCAAGAATGAGGTAAAAAGAGATGTATTTACTTATTTATTGGTTTGGTTTTTGGTTTCTGGTTTTCAGTTTTCCTGAAGAGGGAAGCATATCCTTGTGCAATATAAAACTGTTGGATAGAGCAAAACTACTTGCTGATGACAGGATCTGTTTCCCCATTTTTCCCCATACTAGGTGATTCACTGGAACTCACCAAAGAAGCTACGAGTGAAAAATAAGCACGTGGAATTTTTCCGTAACCTTTATTTGACATTCCTGGAGTATGATGGGAACCTTCTGAGGCGAGAACTCTTTGGCTGTCCTAGTGAGGCTGACATCAATAGCGAAAATGTAAGTGGGATGTGTGGGGCTTGATGTTGAGAAGATAGTTTCTTTTTAGCACACAGCCAGTGTGAAAGATTGCAAAGTTGCTTGTATGCAGGAGATACTGGCTTGGGACTTAGATGTGCTTTCAGTTACAAGCCTACCGTGGATGTATTGTATGACCTTTAACAAATTACTTCATCTCTCTGTGCTTCAGTTTCCCATCTGTGAAATAGGGTTAATAATCCCACTTTTTTCCTACCCTTGTCTGCCTTATCTAGGGTAGGATTTCCAAAAGTTCACACATTGAAAATCAATGGGATCTGTCCTCCAAAAAAACAAAAAAGCCTCGTCCTTAGACCTTAAGCCAGCAGTTCTCAACCTTTTAAGACTTGAGGTGCCACTCTCATTAGACTCAGGCACCCCTCAGAAAACACCAGCTCTTGGTTTTCACTCTTGACAACAGAAAAAGAACAGAGCATTGCTTCTGTTACGCAGAACTCAGGAAGACCACAGCAGGTCAAAATATTTTTAACACCATGAATTCCAGTTTGAAAACTCAGGTTTTCTTGTGAATCCTGTTTGTACATCTAACAGCGCTAACATTGCATGGCACCTCACAGCATCCTTGAAAGGGTCTCAAGGCACCCCAAGGTGACAAAGCACCCTGGTTGAGAATCATTGCCTTAACTAAATCAGAAGCAGGGGTTCTCTCTCACAGTGTATTTGTACAGCACAGTGGGGCCCTGAGCTTATCCCTTAGGTGATACTTCAATACAAATACTGAAGAAAAAATGAAAACATCAAGATTGCTGCCTTTGGAAGTCATAGCTGTCTTTTCCACATATGCTGGAAGATATGAAATAAGTTAGCACTTGAATGTAAATCTGTTTTGTGAGATTGAGTAGGTTCCTTCCTTAGTAGCTGTGTGCAGCTCCCCCGCACCCTCCCAACAAAGTGCAGCAGGAGTGTTATGAACAGCAATGTAAAATTTGTAATCAGAATCTGTCAGATGAAGTGATTCTTTGAATATTGTTAAAATCGATAACATTTTTTACAGGTGTATATGTGTGTCTGTGTAGCTCACTGGTGGGGTGGTCAGGAGGTCTGCACACCTGCCAATGGCTTCCGCTCCGCCTTCAGCACCTTTTGATGTTAAGTTTGCTTTTACAGGAGGAGTCTCCACGGGTCTACGGCTGTCTTGTGAGGCAAGCAGACCAGTCCATCTGCCCCGTCAAACCTGGGCATCCTTCTCCACTCACGCTACAGCTCCTTTAAGGAGATGCTTTTGTGAGTTGCCATGTCCTAGTTGGGGTCACGCTTGACACAGCCTGACCCCCATTTGCCCTGTGGATCTGCCCTCTGACTGGGTCTTTTGTTCAAGCCTCAGCTTTCAGGGACTTCGCCATTCCTTACTAACAGTTCCCCCTGCTGGGGAATGACTGCACTGGCACAATCCCTGTCCCTCTCCCTCGAGGGGTTAACTTCAGGCATTTACTGCCCAGGGCACTCTCCAGTGCCCCTGTCTTTGGGCTCCTCTGTCCCCTCGCAACTACAACCTGATCCTCCGGTTGCCAACAGAAATATAGGGCACCTACACATGTGCAGCAAGGCTGCTCAGCACATCGGAACAGACTCTATTAATCAGGTCTGCTGGAGTATGGTAATTACCGCATTCCTGAATTATCAGCTGAAAAATGGCAGCAGGGAACACTTTAACTAAAGCTCGTTTTACGAGCTTTACTTAAAGCACCCCACCTGCCATTTTTCAGTGTGGAGACGCTGATACACGAGGCACTCCAGGTGCTTTAATAAGAGCGGCTCCACTCTAATTAAAGCCCCTCCCGAGCACCTCTATAAACACCCCTAAATGCAGCCTGCCAGCTATGAAAATTAAATTGCTTTAACCCCAGGGTATTACTTTCTCCTTCAGCTATGAGTTTTCCTGACTACGTCTTTCTCGCTCTCTAGTCCTCTTTCGGCACCAAGCAGCTTGTCTCCCACTGCTGTCCTGCACTGGAGCTCCCTCCGCTGCAGCCTGAAGCCAGACTTCTCCTTCCCCCTTGCTCACAGGAGTGAGCTTATATGACTCAGCACACTTCTTCCAGCCTCCTGATTGGCCTTTCCATCCCAGGTCCAGTGTCATCAATAAGCTCATTATCTGCTGGACCCTCAGCCATTTAACTTGCTGTCGGTGTCCTAGTAACAGGGGCAGGGGTTCCCTGTTGCAGTCTGTACATGTAATATCAATCTCAAAAATGTTAGGGGAAACATTTACCTATAGATATTTTAAATGCTTCTGTGCAGTGCAGCCTCTAGAGATTTCTAAACCAAATAACAATTTCAGCTACATAATTGAAAAGAGAGAAACCAAAATTAGTAGCCTTTTATAGTGCTTGTAAGGAAAAAAAAGAAAAGTGGATTGTCTGTGAAAGTCAGTAAAGCCAAAATAGTACCATATATACATAATAAATCAAGAGATAAGAGTAGTATGTAGAATTTGTGAGATTGGGAATTGACTCCATAGATAAGTTGATTAAAGGGTATGCCCTCCCTAGTTTTTCAACACATGTATTTGATATCCCAAGGTATGGTTGTGAAGTTCCTATCTCACCCACTTTAGCAAATGATTGGGAATCAAACTAATTGCAAGAAACTGGCTAGACATAAATAAGGGAAGGAGGCACTGGAATTCTTGAGAGAGAAATCAGAAAGGGCAAAAATAGATGAGGGGGGAGGATGCAACCGAAAGAAAATCCTCTGCAAGAGAAGGGAATCTTTTAGAGAATTAAATGAATTGAAATGCATTGAAAGGCCACTGAAAGGTAGAACAGAGATGTGTAGGGTAAAGGGGGAAAAACAAAGAAACATGGTTATTATTTTATATATACAGCTTGTCTTATGCAAGATCCTGAATGTATAATTTAATCCAAAGCAATTTTAAAGAAGTCCAATTGCTTGGCAAAACAGGCGTGTACATTATGTGCGCGTAGCAATATCAATCGTAGGACTCAAAGAATACATGCAAACCAGTATGTCATTATCCCAGCGTGATTCACACTTCCTTGTCACGTTTTATTACATAAATAGGGATAGTAGATGGAATTATGCTGAGATGATGATAGTTCTAGTGGGTTAGAAGACTGTGCAGTCACATGGTTGTTACTGCGCTGTGTAATATCTTGGTAAACAGTTTCATTCCAGAGATCACAGTGTTGGGGTGGAATACAGAGAAACTGCATATTTTCAGTACTGAAACTGACTATTCAAAAGGTTAAATTGGCATATTTGACAGAGCTTGTAGCTAGCATAAAGACACTGGATATGATCGAGCAGATTTATTTGCCACGACACTTCTCGCATGGAAACTTAATTAATTCTTTCTATTATGAATTTAAGAAAAAAAATTCAAAAAAGCACCAATGAGAAACACAGTAATACATTGGTGCATTAACAGAAATGCTGTCGTAAGTGACTATGCAAAGGACAACCAAAATTAATGACATACACACACACATATATGTGTGTATATATATGTGCATGTGCCTGCCTGGTCTCCAGTAGGCTTTCACTTGCTGCCCTGGCACGTGCACCTGAAATCAACCGTGACATGGGCATCAGCCCTCCCTGAGTGAACCCACAGTCTCCCCAGAAAAAGCCCTGAGACTCGTCTGCCATGACTTCGATGGTAATTTCAGTGGTGAGCTTCCCGTCAATGGGCTCTCTTGGACAGACTGTGGCCCTCAGCAGGTCTCCGTGCAGCTCTGCCTCCCCTACATCCCATCCATACGCCAGCCTTCATGATGACTGCTGCCTTTCTCCAGCTCACCTTCTGGTGTCGACTCTCTTGCTTGTCAAGACACTCTGGATTGCCTGATGGATCTCTGTCTGGGTCCGGTCTTTGATTGTCATCCGCCACTGCTTCTTTCTCTCTTGGAGCATTGTCCTTCCCCTCTCAGCCCTTACTTCAGGGCCTTTTGGGATGCCCCTGTGCTGGCTCCAGAGCCTCTCGGGGCTCATCCTTATCACAGGGGCATACAAGGGCCCCTTTGTAACCAGGTGGACAAGAGGAAAATAATATTAAAAAAAAAAAAAAAAAGAAGGACAAGAAAGAAACAAAAACCCCAAGGCTTTTACCCTTAGTCCAGGGTAGTGTCTGGTCTGCCTCTTTTTCTCATGGTCTTCAGCGTTCCCCTACATATTCCTCTGCTGTCACCTCTGCTAGAGGTTCTCCCTGGTGTCTCTGCTTGGGATCCCTCGACGTCCACTGGTGTAGCACCCACCCGGCGGGGAAGCGCCTCCCGAGTCCTTCCCCTGCAGGGCTTCCTCTGTGTCTCCCTTGGCACCGGCTTTTATCTTTGCTGGGCAGCCTCCAGGGATGATGTCACTGGCTTGTGCCAGCTTGAGCTGGAAGTAGGCACAGCTCACAAACCGTGCGGCTGTTTGGAGCAGGTGCATCATGTGTGCTCCTCCAGCACCTGAAACAGGTAAGTTTGCCCTGGTCTCGGGACTTTTTATGTTATGTCCCGTACCCCATCCTGCTACAGTGGAGGGAAGTCCCCCTTCTCCTGGTGCTTATCTCCTTATCTCCCCGGGACACGTGTGTATGTGTGTGTGTGTGTAAAGAATTAAGAACCAGTAAGAATGGACACTCTTAAAGTAAGCATTCAAAGATAGGACATTGCTACTTGTAGGTAGCCACTGATTTAAGTTTCGCTGTAAATACAGCTGTGCAGTTTTTATTGTAGAGCCCAGGGCCCAGATCCTGTTTAACCTCTAAGACAAGTAACTGCTACTGAAAGGGCAGTTATACATCTAAGATGTTAAATGTGATCCTGTTCCACCCCATGCACCACCACATGAACTTATAGCTCCCATTTCACAGTAAAGTGTCATACTCACAATGTAGAGCTAGGGAAATCCTCCATCCTTCATACTGAAAAGGGGAGTACAAGAGATATTGGAGCCGGAAGAAGAGAATACAAGATGAAGCCTGACTTTGTAGCCCAGTAAAAAGTGTGCTTCCC